TAAATCCTGTTTCGCGTAGAATTAATCGCCTCCTCATTTCTCGATCTAATCTCCAAGCAGAGCGAGATGGACTGACGCTGTAAGCGCGTTCTTGTTTCAAACGAAATGAAACTTGCTTTGTCTACAATGGTTGAGACTTCCATTTCCGAACGTTCAATAGGCCATTTTCACGGTGACGATGTTTGACTACAACTACCAGAATTCATGTCGTCTTTACTTTCTTATTTAAATTTGTCAATTCCACTGAGGTGTAAAGAACAATAGCCTTAATTAGCAAACTGAAGGATTCTGGTAATTGTAGTAAAATGACGTCATCATGCAATTGTCCTATTGTGTTAGAAAGGCAAAAGTTTTGGGTGAGTTCGATTATGTTCGATTACCGAACCTAATCGAAGTCAATCGAACGACTGGAGTACCACTACGACTGGGTTCGATTACCGAACGTTCGATTGATCACGCCGGGAAATCACTATCAAAGGCTTTTAGTACGAAGTCTACGTAGCAGATATGTTCATTTTACGAAAGAAAAAAGTGCTATTTCAGTCTGGCACAAATAGGCGCATTCTAGTGAAACAAATACCATAGTTTTATGGGTAGCGCTGAACAACGTAATTACTTGAGTCTGTGAGAAAATCTCCGCTCCTCTCTATCAGAGACTTCTCCCCCTCCCCCCTGGAATTACACGCATAATGCTCGATCATGATATGTTCATTTTTGCAATATCCTTGCTGCTCAAGACATCAGCAGCTCTGAGGGTCAAATGAGGTGCACACGGGACCTGTGCAACATTGTGTACCTTCCTTAAAACTTAGAGTGAGAAGGACACCTGATCGCGGGTTACCTTAACAACAGCAGTTCCGTTTATTAAAATCCCAGGAGATCCTTTTTTATCTCGTGAATCTATTCACGAGGTTATAGGGAGCACTCAAGGTTGGTTGGTTTGTTGGTTGGTCGAGTGGTGTTATTGTACGCAAATGAGCCTCGTGATGAGGAGGCGGTTTATTTCGAGCGGTGACTTCGATGGAGCCTCTTTGGTTTTGTCACGTTACATGCTCAGCCATGCGCATGTCAAAACCTTGTCAAAGTTTATTACGCATTTAAAAATGACAAATTATTTGAAAAGAGTAACATATAAATAGACCACACAAAGATATCCAAAACGATCATATCTGAATTTTCCAGTGACATGTTTTATTTGTTTCTCTTTTGGTTTGAGCTGTTCGGCAGCTGTCGAGCTTTCCTCTGACACTGATACATCACCAACATCAACTTTGCTACTTGGAGTAACATTCAAGAATTCTTTTTCCTTTGAAAAGCTTAATCTTAGAAAATAAATACGACTTTTCTCTCCACCTGGTATCTTCAGATCATTAGAGTTAGCTCTTCCAGCCATTTTTACGTAAAACAAGAGCGCGCTTACAGCGGCATTCAGGTCTCGCCTGCTTGGAGATTAGATCCAGAAATAAGGAGGCTATCAATTCTACAAGAAACATGATTTACTCGCTAAAGGTTTTTTACTTCCTACTTTATCGACGTCGATACTTTTTATTTGTTTCTGAATTGATTTAGTACGCGTGTTAGCGACGACCAAAGATACCTCTGCCGTCGCAGGCTATACACGTGTATAAATACACGAAAATTCAAGGGTCTCGATTCCAGAGAAATTACATCATTGCCAGAGATCGAAAAAGTGATTTACATGGCACGTCATTTCAATCATCGCCGAAAATAAATCGCATGCTCATCACAAGACTCATTTGCATACCGTGAAAGTTTACAACACCCGACCATCGCAATTTTGCTAATTAAGATTCTTTTTTTTTTCGACCACTCAGCAGTGTTCACTTGCTCCAAAGCAACCAACGCTTTCAAGCGATAGAATTCGTGCACCGACACAAATCTTTCCTAAGCTTCCTTCACAAAACATGCGTGGCTTCGATCACGCAACGATTCTTAGTCCCAGTTTCCACGGTCTCCGCAAGGAATGCCTGGCACAATGACCTGCCTTTTATGTCCCAAAAAACGACTAAAAATTCCGGGGGATATTTCCAGAAAAATTGGAAGGGGGTGTGCGGCACGCTTCCTGAAACCCTTACCCTATTTCAGACCAAAATCTGTGATTTTCCCTACCCTATTTCAGACCTGAAGCCCTGGAGCCCGGCGCGTGACCGGAGCGCGTGACAAGCTGTTACGGCTCGTACACGGTAGTTGGCGTAAACATTAAAAGGGAAATGGTCTTATCGCCAAATGATGAAGAAGTAGCTAATTCTTCTAAAAAGCATACCCATTTCAAGACTAGAGTGCACAAACCATACCCTATTTCAGACCAAAATGGTCGAAATTGATACCCTATTTCAGACCAAAACGGCTAAAAAAAAACATACCCTTTAACGCGGCACATACCTGTATAGCCTATATAAGGGACTACCCCCCCGGGGCGAAAAACGCGTTGCTGATTATGAGCCTCGCTGCTTACGCAGCGAGACTAATAACCAAAGAGAGCCAAAGAGTGGTCGCGCCTCTGATTCTGCGGGTTTGCGAACGAGGAAGCTTATATCATACGCCACGCATACGCATTTAAAAAAAAGAATTTTTGTACCTAGTCTCCTACCAATATTTTGGAAGGTAGTTAAGATTGATTATAGTTTAGTAGCTTCACGAAAAATAAACTAGGCATTTCACGTTTCAAGGAAAATACAGTGACCAAACCAGTGGAAAGTACGCTCTCACCAAACACAGAAAGTTATCAAAAGCTCCTGTCATCCAGCTCGTGATTACTTAACGCTTTAAAAAGTTTTGAAAGTGTCACTGAACAGCATCTTGCTAACAAAAGTCTGTGACGTACCAAGGCAAGAATTTGCTCGCGATCTATGTGTATCTGTCCGTGTGTAATCAGTCGTGCATGTTTTCATGTATTTGTAAGCAGAGCAAGAGAGTTAAAACTTGACCGGGACCACCCGTACAAGGCGTACATTCCTTTTTTCGTATTACTCTTGAGTACGTGAAGTTAACGTTGCACCCGTTGCAGGACGGTACAAGCTCAGATACCCCGGCAACAGTAAACGTTATAATATTTTTGCAGTCTAAAAACAGAAGGTACATAAAATCTGAATCTGACTTTCATTACTCCTAAATATTGAATTTCGGCTTATAACCTTAAAATTGGGTCACAAAATGTATAGATTCAGGTGGCAAACTCTCTGACTATGGTAGCTGAGTCAAAACTTAATACTGAGCAGTTTATCTATAGATCAATTTCACTGTCACGCGACAAAAAAGTAAATTGGAAACCGTCCAGTGGAAGAAGCCAAGAAAATGAATGTTATAAAAGACTAATATATAAACAATTTGTCCAAGTCTCAGGTCTTTGTAGCCCACAGTTTATGAGTTATTTGCCGAAACGTTTCACGCACCTTTGTAGAGCTTTGTATGGAGACGCCATATTGGTTTACCGTTTTGATGCATCAATATGGCCGCCGGAAATCAACAAAAACATCTGAAGTTCACTTTTTTATAGAAGCTGTTTCTTTTCACTCGACAACTAGCATACGTGCGCATAAACATATCTTCTAATACTTGAAATGGTTGTACTGCTGAAAATCAAGAGGAGAGACTTTTTTCAACGATACGGTATTCCTATTTTGGTGTCACGCACTGTGAAAACTCGGAAGTTCAAATTGCTGTATTTTCGAAATGAAACATGCTACGAGAATGGAAACTTGTACAGCGATTTACTTTTTGCTTTATCTTCAACCTAGTGTAAATAAGAATTCCGAAACGTCACTATTTTGACTTTGCAATTTGATGATGTCATCGTGAAAACCATCTATAAGTTCTACTACCATGAAAATTTTTTTAAAAACCTTCTCAAGACACAGCTACCCTTAGCTGACTGGAGACCGCCCCTTCCCTGCCACCCTAACACAAACATCTCGTAAAATGTTACTTTTTAAACAGGTCAACACAAAAAAACTTCAATCGATTCACGAGTTGGCTCATAGAGCCCTTTGATATTTAAAGCCAGAGCACTGGATTCAAATTACTCCAACCAAAAGTTTTAAAAGTACATCTCACCTACCAAAGAGCCAGTTGAGTTGAACCAGGGTTGACACCGCCCCCCCCCCCCCCCCCCCCCCCCCCCCCCCCCCCCCCCCCCCCCCCTTCCGACCACCCCCCCCCCCGGGGTGCCTGAGCGGACATCCCCCCCCCCAACCGCCGCCCCGGCGCGGGGCGGGGCGGGGGGGGGGGGGGCGGTTCCCCCCACGATCGTATTCCAACAACTGTCCACTCAGCATCACTAGAGCCCGCCCCTTCCCTGCCACCCTAACCCAAAATTCTCGTAAAATTTTACTTTTTAAACAGGTCAACACAAAAAAACTTCAATCGATTCACGATTTGGCTCATAGAGCCCTTTGATATTTAAAGCCAGAGCACTGGATTCAAATTACTCCAACCAAAAGTTTTAAAAGTAAATCTCACCTACCAAAGAGCCAGTTGAGTTGAACCAGGGTTGACACCGCCCCCCCCCCCCACCCCCCTCGTTCACAGGGCTTCTCCCGTTTTCTAAGGGAAAACCCCTGGGGACGAGGTTAGCTGAAATCCTCCTCCCGACGACAGAGCTGCGCATGGGCAGTGACGGGTGAGGCCTGGGGTCCAAATTCTCACATTTTGGAAAATCCAAGTGATATCACGGACATACGTAGTACGTTATTCAGCCCTGTCCACTTAACCTAGCGACTGGGTACGAGTCTGACCCGGCAGACCTTTCTGTCCTCCCCGACGGTAGCTTGTGTACAGACCTCCCTTCCCTCCGATAAAATCGGAGAATGGCCCCTTTTCCAATTTTTCTCGAGGGGAGGTGGGGTCTGTACACAAGCTACCCGGACGGGTCCTCTCCGATTCTCTGACGAGGCGAACAGCATTGTGGGATAGGGTTTTTTCCCTTTGCCTTTGAAAAGACCTTTCAGTTACGTTTTTTCTCCTTCCAGGGTGGACTAACAATGTCGACTCGTTCTTTTCGTCGAGAAGAACAGTCTGCTTTTGCACGGGAAGCTTCACTTGACCCAAGCTCTGTGAGTTTCTTCACGACAGAACTCTTGTCAAATTATGACGAACCAAGATCAGAGGGATACGATGAGTACTTCGATCCGCCTCTTGAAAGTAAATATGAATGTCCAATTTGTCTTCTTGGCCTGCGAGAGCCGGTGCAGACAAGCTGCGGCCATAGATTCTGCAGAGGTTGTATTCTGCGTTCGATAAGGTGAGGCGGTAACAAAAAGTAGTTGGTAGAATATCCTGTGTGATTTCTGTGGCTGTCGTTTAAAAATGCATATTTATATTACTCTTTTTTGTGCTTTTAATAAATTATATAGAAGGACTATATTTTAATTTCTGTTAACTGTAATAGAGAGTTTTGGTGCCTGTTTCCAGATTAACTGTCTGGTTACATCCACTGTAAAGGCCTAAGCATTTTCAATGTAGGATTGTTTAAATTTGAACTGAGACTCAGCGTTTCTGGACAGGGACTCGTGATTGTTCACAAGATCAGTACCAGAACTCACCATAGATTTTTTTAACAAAATCACAGTAGTCACATCTTTCGGATCTCTCATAATAAACCTTTGTTATAACATGGATATATGTATATGGTTTTACATGTATGGCCAGCTTAAAGCAAAGTGAAAGCTGCACGTCAGCACTAATCAGAAATTTGAAGTCATTTTTGTTTGTGCTATGTCAATGATGAGGACTCAACATCAATTCCACAGCACTAAACTGTGTCGAACTCTACCACATTGCCAACAAAATCCTGAAAAGTAGTCACCATAATTGACAATAAGATGTTATGCATTAGCATTTACATGTACACCACCACCCAAAAGTAAGTTGGCGGTCTTGACTCAATCCTCAAAAGTTGAAACTCAAATGAATTGAGTTTCAAGACAAGAATCAATTGAGTCTCATTTTGGGTTTTGAGTTTCATGAAAACAGTTTCTTACAGGCCAGCCCTATATTAAGTGTTAACTGTCACTCTCTTGAAAGATACATGTACCCAAGTCACTGTCTTAATCTTACATGTAGTTAACAAATAGATTCTATGTTGCCGTGCGTCTGTTCAGTATTAGATCACAGATGACATCAAGATGTGGTAAAAACAATGAAGTGGCACACAAGCCACAGGCGAGTGTGTCACTGATGTTTTTACCACATTTTGACGTCCTCTGTGATCTATTACTGAACAGACCCACGGCAACATGGAATCTATTTCTTTTTTAAACAATGATCAGAAAAGAAAAAAGACTGATACACATACCTGCTTCGTACCGCTTGACTGTTTGAGGATTTGTGCTAGTTTAGGCGTATTTTAAGTCCCAAGCGCTACTTTTTGTCTCTGCTTCTTCTTTTGTTCTTTATCTTATTGTATACAGTTTCTTCGAAAAGGTTTTCAACGTCTTTTCTTGCTCAAAGCAGATTAATGGCGAAAACATTTTGCAAAACGGCGAGTCTCTCAAAGCGATGAAACATGATGGCAGCTGTTGTGAAGATTTCTTGTAGTTTAGGCATTCTAAAGTAGTCAAGACCTCTTTTTGTCCCCGTTTCTTCATTTTTCTTTCTTGTAAATAGCTTCTGTTGAACTTTTTTTGAGGATTTCACTTGCTTTAATTCGAAATAATCTCACAAACATTTTCAAGACCGCACGCCATGTTGAACAAAACAAGGAAAACAAGTTTTTGCGTGACATCATCCATGTATCTGTACTCTGATAGATCATGGGCAATGACTAATCACAATGCTCGTAGCATTCACAACGTTGTATAAATGTAGATAGATAATGGTTTGGACCCAGTTCTTCTCAAGTCACCATATGTCTGCATCACTATATTATTGTTACTATCTTGTAATATGGAGTGTAACTTTCAATGTACATGTACAGGACTATCATTGTTAACTTTGACTGATGATTTACATTGTAATTGGCAGCCTGTGCAGATTGGTCATCTTCATAATTACTGCGAGTTCAAAGAATATAAAGAAGTATTGGTTAGAAAACATTCTGGGTCTTAGATTTATGTTTTTTAATACTCTTGACATTTCATTACTTAGGTTTAAAAACTAGTTTGCAATTCTAAAAAATTTCAGTCCTTAACAAAAGTATAGTAGTTCACATGATTAGAATAAGTGATCGTAAAAAGATTTTTTTATTGCTTTGTGGGTCTAAAAGGTTATCTTGACTCTGGAACAACAATCCCTATTTTTCATATTATTTGTTAGTGTTGATAGTTTGCCCAGGCCTTCTGTGTTTATAAGTCAAAGTGAATTGAAACTAATGGACAATTTTTATTTAACCTTTCATGCACACATTTCCCATTTCTATTGCATCATTGCAGGAAAAGGATATCTGTATGCAACTAAAAGTGTAAATAACGACATCCATTCACATTTTGGCTTTTCTGTATTCCCTATTCTGAAGGTCACGTGGACACATTTTACTGAAACAAACACATGTCAGTGCCTGTTGTTACTTTGGATTTTCTGCTTATTCTTGCATCTTGCACATTTGCCATTAATAATGTTTGACACTTTTGAAACTGAAAGCCTTTGGTTTTTCTTTTTGAAGGTGTAAACTAACACTTTCGAGTTATTATTTGTTCCGATCTATAAGCCCAATCTTCCCTATAAATCTTACATTAATTAGCACTTGCATTCAAGTCTCTGTGGCTACAGCTCATCGATTATTTTGGAAATGCTTTGGCTAGTTTACAATAGATAAATTAGTCCAACATTAGCATCCTACATGTATGCAGATGCTTTCTTGACTCATCATGCACCTTTTCATTTAGGAGAATTATTGTGTGACAGGTTAAAAAATGTCTGTGAAGAAGCCGATATGCATATCCCAAAGACGAGCCTTAATGTGTCAAGGTTTTCGTTGCTTAAGATAGTTTAAAACAGGACTTAAAAAATAATTAATAATTAATTATTGTGTGATTTCAAGCATTTATTTTCGTAGAGTGACAGCAAACCTACACTAATTTTGTAGTCTATATGTTTTTAAAAAGACCCTTTTCAGATGGAAAAAAAAAACCATTTTTACCAACCAACAAAACAATACATCATCATAGTTACATGTACCAGTGAAGATTATCTAAGACATTAGATAGTGAGAGCCAATTTACTTGTTCCAAAAATAATGAAATTTAGGCAAGAATAAAATTAATCTAGTAATGCCAATATACTTTAATCATCTTATAAAATCAATTGTTTATCTTGAATTTATTTTGTAATATTGAGGTGGTTTCTACTGAAATAAAAAACTTGCACAGATTGAGCTAGAAACTAATCAGTAATTAACACAACAGCTTTTTATTGAATGTTGTGAATCAAAAGTGCAAATTATTGTTTTAAATGCTTGGCAGGCAATAATTTTAGTGCCACTTGGCTTTGTTACATATTACAGTTTGATTGTTATCAATGGAAAGCATCAGAAAAAGTCTTAAGAATGTGCTTTTTGGTGCTTATGTTCACGTAAAAAGTCTCTCTTTATGTGAAACTATACATATTAAAATAATTCATTTGCATTATCATTGGCATTCTTTAAAAACAATTTTAGTCCTATACTAGAAACCTCTATTTAATGCATGACTGGTCACAGAGACATGTTTGATCAGCATCATTTGGCTTCGTTTCTTTCAACATACATGTATAGTGGATATGCTATGTGCACTGTATGACACTGTAGCATCCTTTTAAAAGGGGAAAGTTGTAGGACTAAATGACTTGTTTGAGACAAAATAACTATATTGTTAGTGAAAGTGTATGACATTGCTAAGAGAACAATACTCGGCCTGATCTTATTTATCGTTGTATAAATGACATCTCTACATACATAACATCAACAGTGAAAATCTACGCTGATGACACCAAAATCTATCACGCGATCAATGAGCCTGAAAAGGATACATGATGTATATCAGCCTTGCAGCTTGACCTGAATAGATTAAGCAAGTGTTCTAACAAGTGGCAGTTGCGCTTGAATCGTGAAAAATGTGAAGTCATGCGTGCAACGCACAGGAGGGACAGATTTAAGCCAAGTTACTCTCTAGGTGTGCAACTAAAATCTGTTAAAAGTGTTAAGGACCTGGTAAACTACGATCTATCTTGGGGTAAACATGTCTCCTACATAGTAAACAAGGCGAAGAAAGTGTTAGGTGTAATCAAGCGATCACTCAGAAACGACAGTCGGCTTGCGTTTTCTTGCCTCTTCAAGTCATTGGTAAGACCTATACTCAAAATATGCCACCCCGGTCTGGAGCCCTTACCAAATAAAGGATATTGAATCCTTGGAAAAAGTCCAAAGAAGATCATCACCGTTGGCCCTTGAAGCAAAAGCGTGGAGAAATGAACTATAAAGACTGAGTTGGCAAACTCTGGACAAACAGAGAGTTCTTACATGTATCTCTAGGACAGTGCTACAACAGCCTTCCTTTTCCGGACTATTTTGAGCTTACCAAGTGTAATCGAACTAGAGCCAAGCATGATTATAAGCCCTATGTAAAATTTGCCATCCTAAACTGCTACAAATATTCTTTTTTTGTACGGATCGTTAATGTGTGGAATAACTTGCCTAAAGATGTTGTACACGCAGGATCGCTGACTTTATTTCGCAACAGATTAAGGATTATTTTATATGAATATTAATTTATACAGTTGTAAATAGTTTCAATTATGATATGCAAATAATTTTTTTGATTCTAATGTAGTTTTTAGTTTTTTAGATTTTTTCTCTGTATGGAATGTTTTAAATTCTAGATTTTACATTTTTTCGCTTTTACTTTGGGGAGTCTTTTATATAGGGATAGCCTCTAGATGTAAAGTAAAATAAATAAAAAGATAAAGTATTGTTGATACCTCTTACTAACCTACAATGTTCGTGTAGATAGGTTTTGTGGTTGAAAAGAATGATATACTGCAGGGGTTGAGAAGTTTGAATTATGTTTTAGAGTATAATAGGCAACAGTTTTAAACAGTTCTCATAGGCATTCAAGTAAAAATCTAGACCCTGCTTCATGGCAGAAAAGTTGGTTGTGGTGGGTAATGTGACGAATATTATATTGAAAACCCTGTTTGTCAAATTACAGGAAGTAGTTTCATGAGAGAGTAGCTATCAGCACTTTGCAGGTGTCTATATATTTCAAACATGATTATAATTTGTCACCTTGACAGACTGTCCTTTCCTTGTACTATTTTTAGGGATGCTGGTCCCAAGTGCCCTGTGGATAATGAACGTTTAAATGAGTCACAGGTAATTATTGATAACGTCAGTAAGCACTTTTAAAAACATTAACAATAAAATAGTGAGAAACTCCGTAGAGAACTTTGCTTCATGTGCTTGCTTGAAAAAGCACTTTTATTTAACAATTAATGAATGAGGCTGAGTATCTTATGAAAAATTATGGAGATCGAGGAGGGTGTTATCTGTCTAGGCCGTAGGCCGAGGCGGATAACACCCTCGGAGATCTCCATAATTCTTCATATGATACGAAAGCCGAATTCAATAATTGTTTTATTATTCATCCAAAATAATTCCTAGTTTAAAAACATGGCTAAAACATGCTTACCTCCATTGATCCATCGATGTTAAGTTCATCTTCGATAGTGCGCGTTTAGGTTTGTCCAGCTCCGCAAATATTCTCCAAATAGCAGATGTCGCCCTTCGAGTTGTCTTCTTGCTGTTCTTGCCATGTTTTTAGTTATTTTTTCGCCTAGTTCTCACTCTTGAAACGAGTGAAATGTCCGCCATTTTTCAAGTTCACAAGCAAAACAACTCAACCTTGTCCCCAGGTCTTCTCGGTTAACGGTGCCTTAACCTGCTCGAACGCTGCATTTTTGACGTCATTTCCTTGTTAAACACAAAATTCTTCCAAATTTGGGGTATCAGAAACTGGTTATGGTGAATTATGCGTGTGCTTTTAGCCAATCAGAATCGGGGAAATATTTTGAATGAATAATAATAACAATTAACATAAAATTATCTGTGATTAACTTGACATGCACATGAATTATTATTCAGATCAGCCTTGCTGGCTAATTAGCATAATTGAGTAGTGACTTTGAATTGACTTTGATTACAACAATCCACTGCCTATAGAGGGTTCCATTTTTCAGATACCCACACTGTACATCGCTGTTACATTGCAAATATGCCTTATAGCTTTTTTTAAAAATAATTGCCAAGCATAGTTTGGATCTGTCATGGCCTTTTCTTGGGTGTTGTGGAGATCTTGTAAGGAAAGGTGCTCTTTCAACAAGTATTGTTGCCAGACTACAAACACCTGTGAAAAACTCCGAAATAAATTTAAGACCAGTAGTAGAAGTACAAATTATGTATCTACTAACATGTGGCAGTAAATAAAGTTATTGTCAGACATTAATGTCATGGCGCAGACATTTATGATTTATACATGTATAAGTGGCCCTTGGAATCTTAATGTGTTTTAATTTTAAGAAAAAGCCAATCAGGTGTGAAATTGTAGTAACCTCAAGTAGCAGCATTATGCAGCACTTTTTTTTGTTTGTAATGTTTGTTTGAGGTTTTGCATTTTTGTTTGTGTGTGTCCATATCTCATGATCAACACTTTTTGTGTATTTCCATAACATTGCAGGTTATGATTTGCTCATTTTTTTGCAGCTACAGTGCATGCTTAAGCACTTGGCTGAATGCAATGAAATAAAGATAATTTTTTTCCCACACTTCAGATGTTCTTCTGTTTTTTATTATTTTAGTCTCCACAAATATCAGAAAATCTTGCCTTCCATTTTTCTGATATGATTGATCATTTTCCCATAATTATTTACTTTTGAATTGTAGCTTTATCCAGACAATTTTGCTAAGAGGGAAATGCTGTCTCATGATGTTTTTTGCCGACTGAAGAAGCAACATGGTTGTCCTTGGAAAGGGCCCCTAAACAAGTTAGAGGTACTGCATATTGACTCATACTAAGATCTTTGTGTTCAAAGTCGTGTTCTATAAAAGGCAGCAAAAAAAAGAAAAAACTACAACAACAACATAGAACAGAATTCAAAATATCTGTCAAAGAAAGCACTTAGGATAGCAATATGTAGTATCTGCATTGTTTTTATTGCTTGGATTTAGATACTTAATCAAATCATATCAGTTTTTTTTTTTAAAAAATAGACATAATATTAAATCTTTTTATACAAACTAACAGCTGGTCAATCAATCATATTATTACTATTATTAACAGTTTTACACCATTAATTTAAGTCCAACCCTGTATCCTGATGGCTGGCAGTAGAGTTCTCTGTCAGTTTTGTTTGTGGTAAAAATGGATGAACAATTCATGGTAGGTATCACACTTTTATGTCCTGTCTGGACACTGAAGTGACTGCAGGAGAAAAATGTTTGTCCAAAGATTTAACACCTGTGTGGTCTTCAGCGTTGTTTAGATCAGTTGGTGATTGCCTGGTTTAGCTTGGGATCTTTCTAAAGTGTCCAGCTTACAGTCCTTGCTTTACCAGTTGGCCATTAGAGCTTTATGCCTTCCAAGAACCACCATCATTGCTGGGACATACATCTGTAGATTCCCTACACAAAGTACATGTACTTGAGACAGGGGTCTACAAGCTCTTTAACTAACAGGCTGCACAGTATCTTGATGAGCTGTTGAACTAACTAAAGTGGGAGCCTTGCTTAGCAGCTGTTTTTCAGTGTGCCTGTTTCACTTGATATCTTTCGAAATATGGATCTTCACATACTTTGCTCTGTCTAGTTATTTGAGAAGGAGACCTTTTAAATAAACTATGTTAAGTATTCGAGTTTGAGAATGGATTTGGAGAATTTGTTTGGTATAATTACTAAACATAATTTTTCCGTCTTTCCTCCCACTTCAGCATTTCAAGGTCTTCTTGGAACTGTTTGCGGTGATGGGAATGCATAGTAATTTTTTACAGTGAGGTACACTGTGCACGATGATACAATGACTGTATAATCTGCAGACAGGTGAACCATAAGATTTTATGATCTTCGTTAGTGCTGGTTCTGTCGTATAACCTTGGGCTTGTAAGAGGGAAGTTCAAGTTAATAACTTGATCTCTTGCTGCCTCCTACTATATGTTGCCCCTTTCTCAAAAAGGGCGTTGAATCAAATGAGGTAGGTTGTCTCTGAGACCATGGATTCTTGTGTGATGAGTCTGTCACGGTCATGCAGTACCTAGCCTGCATAGCATGGCGGTTTTGGTTGGGCGTGCTAAGTAATAAAGGCAGGCGAGGGCAGATAAACTGCGAGGAGATTGGGGCAGGAGCAACTATGACATCAGTCTTCTGACCTGGACATTAAAGAGCAAGTTGAGATTTACAGGCCATTGCCCTACAAAAACCATGGCACGTAAAGTGAATCAGGTTGTGCTGTTTAAGGTGAGGTCTTTAAGAGTCTTCTGCAGCTGCAAGGCAAGGAGATTGGTCTATTGTCTCCAGTCTCATTGTTTTTCATCTTACATAGGTGTAACTAATTCCCTCTTCTAGTCACCCAGTACGTGAATGCTGTTGTTATTTGTTGCGATTATGATCATACATTCGTTATTTTTCTAGGACCACTTAAGCGTTTGTGAATTTGTTGAGTTGGATTGCCCAAAGGAGTGTGGAAGGAAGCTCAAAAGGAAAGACCTTAAAAAGCATTTAGACGCAGAGTGTCCTAACAGGACTGCACCATGTAGGTACTGTCAGGAGGGAGTGAAGTGGAATGGACTAGAGGTTTGTTGTTCATGATTCCTGAGAATTAATTGTCTCCTGAAAGACTTCGTTTGTCAGAAGAATGTGAAAGGAGAAACAAATGCTCAAATTAATTGTCAGAGGAGTTTTCAAGGAGAATCAGATGCTCACAAGGATAAAAGAAAGCAAAATAATTGGATTTGCGCAAGATCTCAAAAAGGGAACGTCAAACTCGACAGGAATCAAGCAGGAGCCCTTGTCACAACTCACACAATTTGAGACAAAGTACCTGCTGTACCTTTGGCAGGTGCTTTATCTTTCCTTGCAGACGAGTTCAACCAGATACTGTGTAGTGCTTTGTAATGAGTACACACACTAGATTACAATCGGACATGGTTGGTAGTAGCCTCCATAAGCAGTCATGTTCCAAAAAAGGTATTGTGTCCATGCACAATTTAAGGTTAAATCAAAAATGCCCGAATCCCTTCGGTAGCCTGTGACGAATTGGAGAATTATTTTTATGAAAAGTTATTATGTGGTCATAAAATCTGCGTTTTGCCACATTTATGCACTTATTTTTGCTTTCTTAGCAATGAACTCGTTTGACGTAAAAAAAAGATGATGTTTCCATTTTTAATCATTTTGTTTTGTTACCATGTACTGTTTAGTAACTTTATCAGTCTTGTCAAAAACGGTGCCTTCAAACTGAAACAGGACTTTTTACACGTGCATTGCAATGTTTGTAATAAAGTCTGACATTATTTTTTTCTTCAGGAACATTTTCAAGTTTGCACCAAATATCCGCAGGCTTGTGAAAAATGTGGACAAGAAAACATACCAAGAGATATGGTAAATCACATTTCTGTCGCCTCGAATGTCTTGCTCTCTTTACGAAATATGTAATTAAATAGGCGAGAAAAGGAAGTTTTATGGAAGTCTTTCCGTTCTTCATGATTAATATTATTTAGGATTTTTGCTCGTGTAATTCTTGTAAACCTGTGTACATGTAAATGTCTTGAAAACGTTTTAATGACAGTGATTTGCCATAACTGGTGTCTGTTGGTACCCATTTCCCTGCTAATTAGAGAGGGAGAATGAGAGGTCGCGTAAACGTAAAACTTTAAAAGTTGAGCGAGGCTCAACTTTTACGTTTAGGGGCGACGTTTGGTACATCGTCTCTACCTGATTTAGGCACGTAAAGACAGTAAAAAACCCCTCTTACAGAGTAATGACGCTAGAGAAATGCTAGCTTCTATTTATTAAAGCAGGTGACAGTTTCTGAATACAAGTCCCGTAGAAGAGTGAGCTAAGTTGGGAATGGGTCCCGGCAGTCGCCTGATTTTCACATGCATTATCACATCTGCTGTACACAGTGGGTGGAAGAGTACAATATGATAAGTGATGGTACTGATATTGAACAGTGTTGGTAATGGTGATGTGTCACTTTTATTCAGACACATGAATTGTTTTTTATTGCTTGAACTGGTCAGTTATTGTTTTTCTATTTTCCAGATCGAGGTACATTTGGAGAAAGAGTGTCCTAACACAGAAATTAAATGCCCTTTTCACGTTGTTGGATGTACGTACGAGGTATGACAGCTGTTTGTAGTTGAGAAATACTGGCAGCATATATTGCAGGGTCTATGAAATACTTGGGTCTCTTTAGTGAAGAATCAATTCCATCATCATTATATTATTGATGATGATGATGATGATGATAATTAATCTCTTCGTGATGGGCTTGGGAACCGGAGAATCCATTCCATTATAATAATAATGATGATGATGATGATGATGATGATAATAATGTTAAATTGGTCTCTTTAGAAAATTAAGAAAACAAAAGAACAATCCCCTTGATCTCTTTCTTTACTTACTCGCAGTGTATGGCTAAAATTGATTTTAGGGTTTTCAATTCAAAAGAATTTAGTTCGTAGGAACGATGATCAACTGACCCGGTTTATTAAAACACTCACGAACTCCAAAAGCTAAAAGGCCAAACTAGAACTACGACTTTTTACTAAAATGCGATTGTTACTCCAGCTACTTTCTTTCCTTATATCTATAGGTGCTACCTTTTATTTATTTATTTATTTATTTGTTCCATTTTGTTTTCTCTTTACTTTCTTTCTTTTGCCGGCTTTATAGGAGACAATTATTTTATTGGTTCCCACCTAGAATAGCTCCGCTTATTGTGGGTAACATAGACTTAAATTGTTTGATAACTGAATAAATAAAAAATGCAAATAAAGGTGGGGAGGGCCCTTAAATCACAAAAATCGCAAATATTTGCGGCGACGAGAAAGTAACGTAAGGTTAGAGGAGGTCGTTAACGAAATTGCTGGAAGGAAGTGGAATAAAAGGCAGTCTATGACTGCATGTAGCTACTGCTTTACTTCTGTACAACATTGTAGTAAAAAATATACAATCACGAAGCTCAGGAAAGGGGCCAGCGTTAGGATTAAAAGGGAAAAGGTCAAAATTTTTTAAAATTGTGCTTACCGATACACCTTTCGCAATGTGCACAGCGTTGTCACAGGGCTAGGAGAGAGAACACTCCACAGATGGGTGAAAGGATCCTATTGAAAGCAGTTTTCTGTGGATTTTCTGACTGAAAACGCCGTCTAAAGCTAGCCTAGCGATAACATGAATTTAAAGCTTGATTTCAGGAAAATAAGAAAGGTTTTGACGGTACAAAGCCGAACTTGAACGTATTTTATCGCATTGGAAGTACACGTGGTCGACGCAGTCGGTGCGAAGTGGGACGCAAATCCGAAGCTAGTCAAATTCAACACGCCATTCCACGACGATAACCTTTGTAAAATTGTAATTGTAAATTGTAATTTGTTTACCCACGGAGCACTAAGCAGTTCATAAGAACTCTTTGAAACGTGTCCGTGCGTTCCAGATCGAATTGGAATTTGAAAGTGTTGGTTTTTAAGGAGAGGGGAAAACCGGAGTACCCGGAGAAAAACCACTCGGAGCAAGGGAGAGAACCAACAACAAACTCAACCCACATATGGCGTCGACGTCAGGATTCGAACCCGGGCCACATTGGTGGGAGGCGAGTGCTCTCACCACTGCGCCACCCTTGCTCCCCCCACCTTTATTTGCGACCACCTCTTGCAAGCGACCACTTAACCAAAACACGAGCATTTTACCAGTCAATGCCCTACAGCCGGATCATTCGTTAACTACTCCCTTTTGGGTAACGGGTTTTGCGTTCGACTTTAAGAGAACGCAACTCCTTATCTTAGGAATGCCGTGGTACTCGTGTGTAACCTTTTCAGCAATTTTTTGTCGTTCGTCTGCTTTTTCGGCGCCAATTTGTATTATGTCACGTGTGTATGCGCATCACCCTGGTTCGATCAAAGTCAACCAGATGATGCACCGGATGTCGGAATTACCGAGTTATTTGAGTTTGGCGAGGGAATGAAAGTTGGAGGTGTTTCCGAAGCAGATTTCATCGCTGACCTGGTGATTCTGGCCTTTTTCGGTCTTAATGCATCGTTACGTCTAGCGATGTTGTACGGGTCAAATCGAGCTGAAAGTTTGTAGAAAGACACAAATAAACACCAGGTAACTTCCGGATACTTTCCCTCTGCCTTCTGTGCATTTGAGTCTATTTATTCGCAGTATTATTTTTTTCTTGCACGAGAAACATTCTGGGATTCACTCATTAGAGTTTTAACCGTGCAATCTTTTGTCTGATATATCTGTGGAGAATTTTGTTGATAAGACCATCTCACCAATCAATTTAAGTTTAAAACGCGATGAACCGACGTACACGGACTGAATGAAGATGAACGGTTCGCACAATTGCAAAAGATTTTGCACCTTAAGCGAAGTCCGGTTCACTGACATCTGTAATCTCGCCAAAACCTTCTGTCGCTATGATCATTCTAAACTTCAAGTTGTGTCACGCAAGAAGCCAGGATTACGTTCGAGGTTTTCCATGGTTTTGGACTTTTGTGGTGTGGGAATGTGCCGTTTATCTTTGTACAAAACAGAGCTATCTACGATCTATCTCTCATTGTTTTGACCATTCTCAAAGGTAAATAAGACGTTTTAAAATATGAAGCAGTCTAAACGGAGAGTGTAGCAAGAATTAAAAAAAATTCCATGTATTTTACCCTATTTTGAAATAATTCTTGACGGTAAAGCTAATAAAGCTCGAACGCACTTGCTAATCTATGATTACTACAAGTATATACCTCTTATAAGCGCCGACTTCACTTATACTCTGATCACATGTTTGCAATAAACTACACTAGTAGTATAGTAGGGACCGAATTTACCTTCCTTTTGTCTCCTTGCTCGGAGTAACTGGACAGCCCTATACCACTGTCGTAAGCCAACAGCGATAACGGTGTTTGCTGCTTTTCGGAGTCTGATTTCCTCTTTATGCTTGTTCTTTGTTTGCTTGTTTTACACAGCCAGCATGTACGCTCATTTGCCTGTAGAGCGCCAATATCATCTTCAAATACTATTTATCAAACACGAAGCACAGTGTTTCTTTATATTAAACACAACGAACACAGTTGACTTCTACTTTCGGTCACAACTACAACAGCCCGCTTTTTTTCTCTTAATTAATAATTAATAATAATTTATTATTATTATTATTTTATTATTAAACAACAACGGCCAACTTTTCACAACCCTAAGTATTGAGCTGTCTTGAAACACTGTTTTGGTTATATGTAATTCCTTAAATAAGACGATTTTACAGTAGAAATAGGTGGTACGAAAACTAGGAGTGTTTCATTAGATATACATCACACGCAGTGAACGGGTTACTTTTCTCTTTAGCTTTTGAGTATCAGAGTTTGCGAATTTTAATCCAAACCTTCTTGTTTCTTACTTATGTTAGGGTTTGCGAGCCAGTGTTAACAAACACATTATGGAGCAGCTGACCGGTCACTTGACCGATATGTCAAAGCAAATTGCTGCTTTATCTACGCCCCGTGAAACAGAACCACAAACTCAACGAACTGCTCCAAGACGCACTCGAGGTGATTTGGGAGCCCGCCTTCAAGAACAGGCTGCCCAAGAAGTCTATTTGAGTGAATTGTCAACACAGACACACAATCACCAGGGTGAGATAGATGAACTGAGACATAGGATCACCAATACTGACAACAATGTACATCATTTGGAGCGTCGACTGGAAGAAATTCGTATGAGGCAGGAAAGACCAATACAAGAACTCACAATGAGGTAAGTGTCACAAACATACATACAAATCAGGTGCACCCAACAATGGTTTTCTCCTAAATACACTGAAAACGATTTTTAGTCTATCCAGAGTACTTTTACATGTCTAGAAATTCACTCTCTCAACAGTGCTATAAAATTTGTATCTTTTTTGTCATCTTAGGGCAACCAACATGAGCCTTTTTGAATTTAAAAAAGGCTTTAGTATTATTTCCCGGAAAAATTTAGATACAATTCATTAACGGTTTAAGAAAAGAATAATTTTTCTGGCTCCTCTTTCCATCACATTTCCGGATCGGATAATTTTTGGTTTCCTTTTCATCCGAATAGTAGCTAAACCTGGGCAGTGAAACGTGAAAAATTCACCTTGTAAAAATCATATAGAATGTATTAAATAAGCTTCGAAAATCGTACATGAATGGAACGGTCATCAAAAAATTTTAAGCCTTCCTCAATTTGTAGGAAATTCTAGGCAATATTTGCTTAGACGAACAGTTTTTTTTTCGAAAATAGCCGTTCTGTGCCCCTTAGAAGTCTCAGTAACGTGTGCTGTGGGTGACTTACTGCTGGCAAACATGAAATGATAACCCAGGGATGAATGGATGGCAAAGTTGGATTGTTTGCTGGTTAGTGCTGTGGCTAGGTTATAGCATCATCGACAGCTTGAATGAAGACCCGAAAATTCCCTGAGATGCGGCCTACTTTCAGTGACCATGTGTTACAAGGCACTTTGAAATTCTCTTAATGGCTAAAGGATTCTTATAGCACACTCGCTGTAGGTCTTCTGGGATTACTGGGTTTAAAGCTAAATTTGCAGTGAAACAACTACATCATTTGAGCTTTGATTATTGTTTAAGGTAATTTATTTTAAAGTGAAAACAAATGCAGTTTGACGGAGTTAACAACAAGGAGCTGTAGTCTTCTTTTTCAGTCCGCGCCACTTAATAGATGGTGATATCATTTTGTGCCATCTTGGCCTTGACATTAGAAATGGTCTTTGATATTTCTCAGATTTAACCGCTATGAAGCCAAGTTGTTGGAGTATGAAGGGCGTGTCTGTAACGGTTCGTATATCTGGAGAATCGAAAACTATCGCCAGTGTCGGCAAGATGCCATTAATGGGGTCATGACTGCAATACACAGCCCTGCTTTCTATACCAGCCTGTATGGATATAAATTATGCATGAGGATCAATTTAAACGGGGTAGACAGTGGCGTGGGAAAACACGTGGCTTTGTTCGTTCACATGATGCAGGGAGATTATGATACGATCCTGGAGTGGCCCTTTACAGGAAGAATTGCGCTTTCCATCTTGGATCAGTCTGATGCGTCGGAGTTTCGTCACCATATCAGTGAAACGCTGGTGGCAAAACCCAATTTACTGGCATTCCAGAGGCCCACAGCACCGCGCAACTATAAGGGGTACGGCTATGTAGAGTTCGCTCCCATCGAGCAGATTCGCGAAGGGCAATACGTTAAAAATAATACCATGCTGGTGCGCATTCAGATTTTTCATTAGCTTTGGTGATACAAAATGTCATACTTTCAAGTTCGGATCAACGGGAATCTGTCGTCTGTTGTGAATGTTGCCAGGCCGCAGCGCATTATACTGACGTAGTCATTTGTTACAATATATTAACAAGAGCGCAATCTACAAAACGCGTGAAGGAAAAAATACAGAAATTTAAAAGAAGGGGGAAAGTCATGAGGACATATTTGAAAATACGAATCCAAATCTTTACTAACAATGACTGATAAAATATTGATTGTACGACCGATGTCTACATGAGAGGCCAACATCTTCGGGTCTGTGGCATGTCCATTTTACCCTTTTCAACCTGAAAAGATTAAAACGGAACTGAGTTCTGTTTTTTTTTACCTTCTACATTTTGTAAGTTCTCTTTTTCATAACGGTAGATCTTTTTGTCGCTCGAAATACTTTACAGCAGACGAAAGATTCGAGTTAATCCAGAATATCTCCTGTTTAAACTTAAAAGTATGGCTTTTCGTATCAGGCTTTTTTTTCGTAAGGTTGTTGGTTCTACCTTCTTTAAAGATTGGTTTCTCCTATGTTTTCTCTATGGCAATCATCCCCCTGTCTTAAATGGTCTTGAATTTCTCTTCTGAAGAATCATGTCCAAAGGTAAAAATTCAAAAGTTCTGAAAGAATCAAGCAGAGCAAATTAGTGAAATCAGCTTGGTATCCCCGTGGGCTTTTGGTAGACCTGTGAATGGAGTACTTCGTCACTGCTTCAGACAAGCTATAAAGGAAAGGCAAGCGGGAGGCCACATGTATAAATCTCCGTGATTATGCTCACCATGCTACATGCTACCAGGGGCTTCACAAGGTTCACATGTATCGCAAAGGAATTGACAGAAAAAGACTTACTTGAAGTTTGGGTTTGAGTTTTGTTGATGACTGGCGATTGTTTGAAGGTCGAGTTTCCAGATTTTCCCAACAGTCTTCAACACTGTAAGTGGGACATGTTTCTCTCACGTTTTTTTGTATTTCTATTTGGCGTTTATTATCATCTAAGCAGCTCCCAATCAAATGTAAAGGCTGATGAATATCACTTTTTCCTGTTGCCAACTGTAGGGGAAACCTTCGAGGCCAACCAAAGCTTTTCATAGATACTTTAGGACATTGTCGTGTGATTTAATAATGGTGTGACTGATCTCGAGATATCAGCTCAGCATGATTCTTTGTACCTCTGTTTCGTGCATTAATATGTTTTGATTAACAAAACGCGGAACTGTTAAATTAAGTTAATTAAGTCGTGCATGCTTTACTTGTTCTGTTTTCTAGGGTATTTTAGAAATAAGGTGAAATTTAGGAAAATGGTCTAATAAGTGGGGTAACACCAGGATGGCATTGCATGACAACGAAATGTATGTTTAAGCCTGCAGTATGAATTTGGCATTAAAAAACCCCTTTATGACGAAAACGATGTCACAGAGCTAGTGATAAGTTCGATCAACGCGAACGTTTTATTGATCGAAGACATGTGTAAATTGCCGTCTGGCATAAAATGTTAGGGGGGGATTGAATTTTGCGTTTTTTGTGAAATCAAATGACGATTTAAGCCTATGTTTTTACTCTTTTCCCTTTTTCCCATCTAAAGAAGTTGTAATGGGCGCCTGTTATTTACCACGGGTTATGGTTTACTTAAATAAAGGTTGCCGATAAATTATAGTAAATCGCAAAGAAAGCGAGCGTAGTGCACAGGTGCGCTTGATTCGTGATTGCGAGGTTATTAAATAAAACGAACGTTTTGTCACAGACCGTTGCGAGACAAGATGCACGTTGCTGCGATCATAGCAGAAGTGGAAGTCTAAAATCCCGGGAGAGGAGGGGTACTCAATAAGGTTTTACACGGGGAGGCTCCGCCCCGAGATCAATTCCCTTCCCATTTTATATACCATTTTTGTCAGAAAAGGTACCCCTTTCGTAAACCTTCCATGGACAAATGGTACCCCTTTCACATACCGAGTTCAGAATATTGCATCCCTTTTAACTGCTGTAAATGCACTGTGTTAAATATATATGTATATATAAAACCAGGAAATTTTCCCGACTTTTTCACAGCCATAAAAGCTGCCTTCTGTAGCTTTTTTAGCTCATAGTCAAGACCGAAATGACAGAATTCTCTACCCTCTCATATACTGCAGTTAGTGAAATCCCTACCCTTACATATCCCTAAGGCCCTAAAAAGTTACACCCTTTGGGCGGAGCCATCCCGAGTAGGCTTTGATAGATTGTGCTAGAATAAAGTTTGACATAATTCGTCATTACGAGTATAATAGACCTTTTTAGCTTGTATGTTTTGTTTTCCCAATTCAGACCATGTGATGTTCTCCAGGGAATTTGCCTTTTGTCTTGTCATTAATTATGCATACATATGCACTTGCACGCACGTGCATAACACGACATTTAAACGAAACAGTTCTCTGGGGTACCATCACCTGGTCTGAAGTGGGAAAACAAAACATACAAGCTAAAAAAGTTCTATTTTCATGTAGTTCTCGAAAAAAGCACTGCTAGCATAATTTGCACTTTTGGCTAGTTTTGCAGCACAAAATTGTCATTTGTTGATCATGCAACCAATTTTTTTGACTCGAGATAAGTGTTCCAGGCAAATTCAAGTAACAAAATCAATTTTTTGTCCGCTTATTGTCGCATTCATGGGACCTGAGTCCCAAAGGAAGTCGCCTAGGACCTTTCCACAGGACTCAACGCAGGCGCCTAACTGACTAGCTCGGTTATCCAAGATGGCGTCCGTGTGCTGGTTTTTTGTTTGAATTTTTATAGTTTTCAGAGAATGAATAATGCACTCTTAAGGTTCCTACATGTAAATAGGGTAAATGTTTTTGCCATTTACTTGTTTGTTACATTGTTACTGAGGTATTCTTACTAAATTTGGAGTAAAAAGTAGAAGCATAACTTCTGCACTATAATTGCATATCATTATGACGGCCGGCCGCGAGTTTTTAGGTCTCTCGTTTTGGATGGTTTTCTTGCTCCAACTGGCATCGAAATCTATTGACAACTCATCCTGGGCATTTGTAAGGATAAGAGGAACAAAGCACTGTCCTTGGATTGCATCTTCGTGCAGTGATTTGCTTCAATTTTTCACAAATTCTGTATCACAGAGCTGGTCAGCTTCAACAAACCATGACGTGCTTGAAATTAGCATACAACATGGATTATTCCGCAAGGAATAAGAAAGCAACAGGGTCGGGCGTTAATTGCCATGCAACAATGCACTCATATTGGATTGAACTATTCAGCTAAATTTTCCCACTTGATAGAAACAAAAACAAAGAGATGGTTTAAGGCCCGCATTGCGTACTATCCAAACTCAGTAGCAACGTTCAATTTCAATACTTTGACATCTCTCTAAGTGGCGATGTTCATCCTTTGCCAGGGCCGATTAGCAGAAGCACTTGTAAGATTCCTGTCAGATGTACTGACCGCAAAAAAAAGACGACCAGCTGCTCTCGCACATGTGATGAATCGAACTGCATAAAAATTAATTCCAAAAGATCTAACTCGTCGTCGCTGTCGCAGTCATTAAATTTGTGTTTATGGAATGTACGATCTGTTAAAAACAAAGCACTGTCACTCAAGGACTACACCGTTGAGCATGATCTTGACTTCCTTGCCTTAACGGAAACTTGGCTTCACTCAGGGGAGAGTGATAGCTTTTTTGTTGGCGAGTTATGCCCGAAAGGATATATTTTTCATCGTACTCCCAGGGAGAACTCAAGAGGCGGTGGAGTTGGTATACTAGTTAAGAAATCAGTCCGAGTTAAGAAGCTGTGTTCAGCGAATTTTAGTTCCTTTGAGAATGTGGTTGCGCTTGCTGAATATCCCATCGGAAGCATAAGATTCGTTGTCATTTACCGACCTCCATCGTCGCAGATCAAAGCGTTTCTCGAAGACTTCGCGAGCCTCCCCGAGCAGCTTGTTCCAATTTCATGCAACTTGTTGTTTGTGGGTGATTTTAATTTTCATCTTGACGACAGTAATAACACCGATGCAACCAAGCTTCACAACCTGCTGGAATCTTTTAATCTGAAGTAACATGTTGCCACACCCACCCACTCTAGGGGACACACCCTAGATCTAATCATCACTCGATCCGAAGATGACCTAGTGGATGGTATCGTGGTCAGAGATCCTCCCGTGTCGGACCATTTTACTGTGCACTGCACACTGAAACTAAGCAAGCCTCGAGCTGAACAGCATGAAATTAGATACCGTAAACTGCGATCTGTTGATATGAGTGCTCTGTGCAAGGACTTGACGGATTCCATTGTCTTGCAAGAAAACATCACTGATCTACCAACGCTCGTCGATACATACGAAACTGAACTAACAAGAGTACTTGACATCCATGCTCCGGAGAAAAAACGAACGATCACGGTGAGACCCGCTGCTGCCTGGTATAATGGTGACATTGACCGAGAAAAGAGAAAAAGATGGAAATTAGAAAGGCGCTGGCGCAAATCCCGCCTGGTCATTGACAGAGAATTATACAAGGAACAATGTAAAGTCGTCAGTTCTCTTATCAAGAAAGCAAAGGAAAACTATTACTCCAACATACAAATACAGGCAATCAAAAGGTCTTGTTTAACACAGTTACCCGGCTCCTCCACCGTAACACTGAGGAGTGCTACCCAACTGCTCCATCTTCTGAGGTGCTAGCAAATAGATTTGCTGATTTCTTTTGCCAAAAGATCGAAGTTATAAGAAATGACTTATTTGCTCGATATACACCGGTCGCCAATTCTCTTGTGGATGCTCAGGCCTGCAGTGCTGAACTTACTGAGTTCGAACGCATGACAGAAGACCAGGTGAAGAGTTTAATCAACTCCTGCCGCCTCAAGACCTGTATTTTAGACCCTCTTCCAGCATCAATAATGAATGATTGCACGGACGTTTTGTTGCCTGTTTTAACTAAGATGATCAACATATCAACTGAAACTGCTAATGTGCTGGTGCAACTTAAGGAAGCC